ACGTAGACCTGACCTGTCTGGATCGACAGCTGTGGGAAGTTCTGCCACTCTTCTTCTGCAGACAGCCACTGCACAGCAACCTGATCAGCATGAAGGAATGGGAAAACCGTCATCTCCAGAATTCTGTCAATTCATCATCAAGCACCAAGGTTACCCTCTGCACCAAAGATGGGGTAAGACGTGGTAAGCATCAATACCTTTTATATAGGCAAAATAACATTACAAATCCATTCAGCTAGAATTTCAAATCTGTATTTCAAGACCCTGATACAGCTTTCTCCACTCCTGGCTAAGAAGAGATTAAATGGCTCTGTCACATGTCCTTTTTCCCGAGTCCTGATGCTGAGGAAATGTATGTTCCAGAACACTTGCCAAATTCTAATTGACTCTTTAATCCTGTGCCCTTGAAAGGGGAATAATAATTATCCAGTTTCATGTGTGGCTACCAAGGTCATCTGGAGTCCCTGGTGAAAAAATGGGGTAAGTCTGATGACCAATTCTTTTGATTTCTACTCAGCAAAGATCAAGAATCGGGGATTTTGCACTCATAGTAGTGCATTTTGCAAACTGCGTCTAGTACTTACATGACATAAATGGGTAAAATCTTTAAGAAATACACTTGTAATGATACAAGCATTTCAGGACCTTGCAAAAGAGATACAAAATGAAGTTTTCAAATGTCCATTCCTTACAGCAGGGCATCCTCACAGAGCTGTGATCTGTGCTTAAACATGTTAGTGGATGCCTTTCAACTGTTTCCCAAATAAAAATCCCAAACTTCTGATAAGAAAAAATATTGATAATTTCACTTGAGCAACTTCATTCAATTAAGGCTGCAATCAGCTGCTTAAGCAGAGCTGGAATGAAAAGAAAGTGAGGCCATTTAATTATATCTAAGACTTCATCTAATATCCATTCAGTAAAAATGTATGAAAAGCATCAAGGGAGCCCACAGAAAACAACTGAGATATTTCAGCACAGACTTCCCCCACTCCCCTAAAGCTACTGATGACAAAAACACAAGCTCAGCTCAGATGTCCAGAAATTCTCTCCTGCCAAGCAGCTCACTAGCGATCCCAGTGCTGTTTCTCTTTTGTCGAGCTCCAGTTTTACCAACAGCACAGTTCAGCTCCACCCTGCTGGAATTCTGGGTTTAGCAGTCAGGATGGGGGTTTATACCAGATGCTGCAATGCTGTCGACAAGTACAGCTCACCTCACAAGACATGTCTTATCAATTAAGATCTCCAATTAAGGCTCTTTAATTAACACAATGCATCAAAAAAATATGACGTACAGTAAACGTTTAAAAAAATAACCAGAAGGCTTCCAAGTGGCTCAGACACTAAAGGAGGTCAAGGCTTGGGTTGAGCCCTGTAGCCGAGTCCTCGCTGCTTTGGTGATGTTGCAGTGGCAGGTTCTTATTTTGGAGAGAAGAGCACTGTCTGCCTGTGAACAGAGAAACAGGAGATATCCTGGAGCCTGTGCTCCCACCTCTTGTAAAAACCTGCATTAATTATCTCCTTGAGTACTTCATCTCCTATTCCATGTGATCTGTTGCAATTGTTCAGCTTTGGGAAAAAGTTAAACATGAATTAGGTGTGGCACTCAAGTTAAAAAGTGCCAGTCATTATGCTAAATAACAACCATACTGCTTACAGATTAAGCCTATTTATAGTAAATATGACAAAGTAGCCCACTGCAAGCAAACATTCCAGGCTTTCAAGTGTTTTGAGGCCGTCTTTGATAAAGACTTCATCAGGTTAGTGCTGCTATCTTGTGGATGCTTTTATTAGTGAACACGCACAGCACAACTAATTTAACCTGCATATTTCAAAGACTAACCAAGGAATTGTTCCCACCAAGAACAGATCTGGAAAGGCACAGTTCTGGATGAATCCAATGATACCGGCAGAACTACTGAAGCATTCATGTTTGCATGGATGGCTAAATAGCTGAAAAGGAAATGTCACAGCAGGTCTTGAGTCGTGGGTACTAAATGAGTCTGTTACAGATGCTGTCAAAACCTGAGTGACACTATGAACTAAACCATGACATGGCGAGACGGCCTTTTTTCTGGTGTTTGGGGTCTTCTGCTTTTACAATGAACAAATCAATTTACAAGCAGCCCCAAAAAATTAACAAAACACTTCATTCACCAGTAACCGATAAAACCGTCTCTCTTTAACATGACTTCTGTTGGGAAATTACATGCCTAACTAAACAACTAGTAAACAAAAACACAAACTCTTGTAAAAAGAAAATAGCTTTAAAAAGGACCTTGCAAGATTTTACTGGTTTACTGCCTCGGTTACAGTGAAGAATAAGTGTGTTCACAGCTGTTAATTAAAGGTTTGTGAAAAACAAAACAAAAACTGAAGACTTTTACACAAACTTGAACTTTTTATTTCTTCTACATTTGAACAGGACTGAACCATGTCTTTTAGCAACCATGTAGAAATGTCAGCCTGGGCCAAGGGAAAAGACAGACCCGTCCCAGGAGCAGCAGTGAACTAGACGTTGGGTCGCATGTGCCTGAAGCAGGGCAGGAGCAACACGGAAACAGAAGGGAGAACTGAAAATAAAGATACAAGAATATTGCCAAGTGCTCCAAAACGAATTCCACCCATAAGGAATTATTTGCCCAAACCATTCCATTTACATTTTTAATCCAAAAAAGTACATTTTTTTCCCCCACCAGCATTAACTTTAAGGAATTGACACATCTACTTGGAAAACTTGACATTTTACATCACTGTAGAGAATTAAGTCTTCCCCATTAAAATCTTCAACTACTTCCCCCACTATTTCATTCCTTTCATGTAAATAAATATTTAAGAATATTTCAAGTTCATAAAGAGATGTGCTGAATCACTGATGTCCCATCTTCAGATATGTATGCTCACTGCCTAGCATACAAGTAGCAAATTAATGTTATTTTAAAAACAAAGAAAAAGATATATAGCGAAGTTAGCACAATAAAGGAGATGAGCTGACACTGAAATTGGTATAAAAAAATTGAGACAAATCTAAGAGGTATACACTGACTTGGAGAATATAGTTAGAATTCAAAGCCCTCTGATGTTCTTATGCATTATGGGATTTGTACACTTGTCACCTTTTTAAAAAAAGAGCTCCTCTGCTGTTCTAAGACACAGCTGTGCATTCCTTATGGAGGCGGTCCAACTTGTTTCATGTTCAGCTATCGAGCTGTACGCATTCTCAGTGTCTTCCACCTGCTTTGCATGGTAGATCACAGACGTGTTTTGCCCAAGTACTGCAGACTTTTATTGCAGCTTATACACTTCCCTAAACCTGGTCCTGGCAAGCTTCAGGAAGTCGGCAGCAGCATATTACGCAATGAGAGATTCCTAATGTGGCTGGAGGCAGAAACAAAACTATTTATAACCCCTCTGGCTATGTACCTAAAGCCTCATATTCCAGAAGAAAAAAAAAAGATCCCCCCCCAATCTAAAAGGAGAATCGACCCCCCCCATACAGACAAAATAAAGTTTTACCCAGCAGCAGACTATACAATCTAGGCAATCAGGACAAAAATAAACGTTTAAAAATTACATTCTTCATGAAATAATGCAACATCCTTTAAATGACTAGATATCCTGCCAAAATGTTATTGCATTCGCTATATACTTCCTGTATGATGTAAACGCTACCTGCTGCAATAGAAAACATCACTATCAAGTAACAAAAAAACTGCATATTTAAAATCACCACAACAATCCAATATATTATATAACCCTTTTAGATATTTTTATATAACATATTTACACATTTGGAAAACTTTCATTTTTGCAAAGACTAATGAAATCAAGCTAAAAGAATGCACTGACAGAACAGCTCTACATTACTTGCAGGTTGTTCCTCCATACCGTATATTATCTGTACACGCGTCAGGAACTAGACACTCCCACCCCTCTCAGGCATGGTTTTAAAAAGGTAACAAGTTTACATGTGCTAAGGACCAGGTAAGAGGGCTCTTTGGTGCAATCACTCCCAGTTTAATTACTTTTATGTTCATTTTGAGATTTATAGGATTATATAATATGTACCACAAAATAACTGCTGCCACCCCAGTTCAGCAGCTTTCTGCCTTGCCAGCACATTCAAGTACAAAAAAAGTAAAGAGCAAGACAAAGGTCCTCTCAATTAACTGATGGACATCTCTCAAGCTTTCTGACTCTGCTCGAGCCTCCACAGAGACCCAGCAGACGACAGTTCTGCACCCACTTCACTGGGGAGTAGGACCAGAGCTCAAGGCAAAGACTTTCGGGATTCCAGGTGTCGGTTCTCTGTGTTCTTGCTTGGTCCGTCTTCACTGAACAGCTTTCTTGTTCAGTTTCTTGCCCTTCTTCAGAACTAACTTGTTCTTTATGTACCCACGCTTCCTTTTGGCAATCTATTCGAGAAAAGGGAACACGGTAACATTTCGTTTGCAGTAACATGTATAAGCCCCTGCGAAAGTCACGCCACTACGTCACGGGCCTTTACAAGCTTGAACGGGTGAAAGCTCTGGCGACTTGCACGCTTGATCAAAATGTGAAGGAAAATTTAAGAACTGGGAAGGCTTGCGATTTCAACAGGGTGTAAGTGAAGAGGATAAATTATTCTGAAAGCTCTAAACATGAGAGCTGAACTATGCAGGTGCACATTTGTCACTTAGATGAAAAAAGTCATTACAAAGACGGCTAAAATAGCTACACATAAGGAGAGATGGAAATCCCATCAATTGTTCATTTTAAGAGCGAAAACTGCATTGTGTTATAAAATACCCAAGTTGAACCAGATATGCCCCAAATCAAGTGTGCAAAAACCCAATTAAATGCTGCCAAGTTCCCCTCCTCACAGCATTTTGAGTAAATAACATTTCTCACACAGGCTAGACAAAAGCACATTTTAATCTAATTGAAGCGTAAAGAGATGCGTTATTGAGTTTTATACATTAGGGTTTTGCAGTAACAACTCCAACACACTGCGAGGAAATCCAGTTCTCATCATCTAAAAAGGAAGGGAGGATCTCGATTTCTATTTTTACCCACCTTTTTTGATAAATACTTCTGTTTGGGGAATATGTTGGTGACTCGCGGTTTATGATCCAAGGGTTCCCTGTTCTCCATTTTCTTGACTTTGTAAATCCTCACGAGCCAGTGCTCAGAGGTAAAGGCCTCCTCCAGATGTTTGAACTTAATGTCCTTATTCCCAATCTCAGCATTGCGCGTCCGATCAAAGCCAGGAGGAGTCCGGAAATCCAGCTGAGGGGAAATGGAAAGAATGTAAAAAAAAAAATCAAGGGTATATAAAGAAACGTTTCATTGACAAGATCTTGGAACATTATCAGATTAAACATAGCAGGTAGTACAACACTGTAGTGCTTATCACAGTACAAGAGCACCACCTGAAGAGGACAGAGCCTCACAGGCCACCCCTGACCCCCGCTTCACAAAAGTATGTGGGTCAAGTTTAAAAAAAAGTCAGCAAAGCCTCAACACTTGCATGGCACCCTAAGAGACTGTAGTCATTCGAACTTACGAGAGAGGCTTAAATAGAAACTTGCATCGGTATGCAAAGTTCTTGATGACCCGTTACCTACCTTTGCTCATTAGCGCTTCATTTATCCCCCCGTGAAACCAAACTGAAACACGCCGACCTGTCCTTTCAGACATGGCTAACAACGTCTTATACTTTAAAGTTCACAATCGTGCCGACAGGGCTTCCACACTAGCAGGTGAAAGCCGTTCCCCCCTGTCCTTTGGAAAATGCAAACCGCACATTTGAAGAGAAGGACTTAAGAGGGAGAACAGTGTCAAAAACCTTTCTAGGGGCTCCTTTAAATATCACTTAAATACCACTGCCCAGCAGGGCAGGCCGAGCGAGAGCAGGGAGGTCCCAGCGGGAGCAGCAGGCCGCAAGGTTACTGCGCATGCAAATGTAGAAGCGTTTCGTATTCCTGGCTGAGCAGAATACAAAAGAGGACCCAAACCCAGAAGCAAAATCTTTTCAAAACGTAAGCACCCTGGGACTGTCTCAGAACCACACTTCCTCGCGCAGCTCAGAAATTATGCAATGAATTCCGTCTCCGTTCGTTCTCTTACTGCTCACCTGCATCTCTCCAAACCTGTAATAGGACATCTTGTACATCAGGCAGTTCAGGAGAGTCGGGGATCCTGCCTTATCGACCCGGAACTCGCCCTGCGGCGTGAAATAGTCGCTTTCCTGGCACAGAAAAGGAAAAACACTTTGTTATTTGACTGTTCTTTAAACACGCAATCACAGCTCTAAACATCCTTGCCGTCTTTTAATAAGCGCAAGTTTTATACTGGGTATCAGAGTTAGATTTGTTTTGCAGGTACCCTCACTCAGAGCAAGGAGTATCAACAGAAGGAACAGGTGTGAGCATAAGGTGGTGCAAGACGAACAAAATTACGATGAATTGGGCAAGTTATCCAGCTACTTGTGTGGCCGGGGTCATTATGGCACGAAACGCTAAGATTTCAAACAGAACGCCGACATAAAACTTAAAAAGCAACGTGCTCATTGCAGCTCCAGTACCAAAAAACTGAATTACGCCAGAGTTTGGAGGGTGTGCTTCTGAAACCCCATGAACACCAACGATCCAAATCCAGAGTTAATTCATGCTGTGCCCATTTAGCTACTTCTTAAATCCAGCAACCGATAAACAGCACAAAAGAGAATACACAGTGCTATTGTAAGAATGATCATTAAACAGGCCAGTTGGATTACATTGATCTCAAATAGCCACCAAAATATGAGTGTCTTTCAAATGGAGCTCCGACATGGGAAACGGCTCTCACCCTGATGTCCTTGGGGTGCTCTCCTTCCGCTATCCTCACCATCCACAGAAACTTGTTGATATCGTCCCCCGAGTACCCAATCACCCCACCGAAGATGATCAGCACATAGTCCACGTCCAGGCTCTGCATGATCCCGTAGGCTGCACTCTCGTTGGAAGACATGGCTTTGCCCACCTGGGGGGGGGGAAGACCCACACGATGCATGCGTTTCCACAATCACTGCTCCCCACAATCACAACTTAGTCCCTAAAACGTCACTTGCTGAAGGCCTACAAACAACAGTTTGAATAACCCCAACCAATGCTCAGAGCGACTGACGGCTTTGACTGCACAGATTCTTGCTTCAAGACACTATGTATAATGCCACCTTATTAAAACACCAGACTATATTTAGAATACACTAGTGTAAAAAATACCTTAGTCACACCATGCTTGAATGAGGGACTATTGACCTTTCTGAACACGTATACTATAAAAAAGTCTTTGTCTCTTTAGTAACCAGCTAAAAAGATCTGAAAATGATGTCGCCGATCAAGCCCAGTGTGCTCAACACAGTGGTAGTGACCAGCTGTGCTTTAACGGACCGCTCCAGCTTACCAGGGCTATGTGACTGTTGTTCCAAGTGTTGTTGTCTACTAGCGTGGTCCTGTTGGCCATTCCCGCTATCTGGTACCCATAATCCCACCAGGACATCACTCTCGCATGTTCATCCGTGTTCTGTCGCAACCAGTAATACGCTTCTCTGAAGTCATCCAAAATGTTTCGGGTGCTGAAAGGAGACGGAATTTAGAGTCTACATACTGTATGTCTTCACTGCTACGGAAAGCCCCTGCCGCTTTTAGGTATAGGGCAGCACACTAAGGCCCAAACTACCTAGGATATAAATAACCAACACATATAAAGTGTTAATCACAGTCAAATCCAGATATTTGTTAAATCAAAGCATTTGGTACTGCGTGTGGCAGTACCATAACTACTTCCTAAAAATGCTCCACATTACTTTTCGGTATCAAGCCCACTTTGCTTTTTAAGCAACGTGCAGGAGCACGCCAAGGTGTTTTAAGAGGGGCCAGTATTCATATGCAATCAGGGAAATGAAGCATTTCAGCTATAAACCATCTTCATATCCTGCTGCTTTTTTAATCAGCTTTTATATGTCAGATGCTCGCAGCTGTAGCAGAGCAACAAAAAAAAAATCAGCTACTGAAGACTGGGCAAGTAGTCAAACTTCAACAGATGCAAGATGAATGGGCCAAACATCTTGCTTTTCTGGACACCAAACTGCTACTCTGATGTGTTCCTGGTTTCCACAATGACTGGAGACTGCTGAAAAGATCCGCATCATGGTCATCACTCCTGGAGTGAAAAGTAACAGATGCCTGGCCCCAAGCTGATTACCATGTCCTTCAATTCCCTTCCTACAGAGCTCCTTCAAAAGAATTTAGAAACTTTTCAAGGAAAACACAGGTCATTGATGGAACTCTGGATATAGAGACCATTACAGTATCGCAGCACTAATTAGAACTGCATACCCCCACATCAATTGAACAATATCATTAAGAAATACTGATACAACATGATAACACTTGAGGACATGGGACACCTGTAAGCCAAGCAATTGTTATGAATGACATACTAGCACTTCACAAACGCTGGACTTGCTACATTTTGTCAAGTAATTACTTATCCCGCACATTTAATGTTCCACTAATCAGGAATGTAATTAGGCCTTGACTAACCCTCGCCAAGCACCATGACGTCTCTGAAGAACGCAGGAGAAAAACACCTGCACAGCATGTCTCTTATGCTTAAGTGCTACCACAGTTATCTGCACAGCCAGGAACATAATGAATAAAACCATAGACCCAGGAACGGAGGGCAATGCCTGCTGCAGGGAGTCATCCACACGTACCCATCGTGGTTGTAAGAGGCCAGGACCACGCTGGGGCTGGAGTAGGCATTGCTGGTCACCCAGGTGCAGTGGACAGCGAACATCATGAGCAGCATCAGCATGAGCATGGTGACGATGCTCTTGATGTTGGGTCCCAGCCCCTCCTCCGCCTTCTCCTGCTCCGACACGTGCTTGCGCACCTTGCCGGCCTGCCGAGAGAGCCCACAGTGAGCGGATCCCCCGAACCCCAGCTCTCGCCCAGCCCGCGGCAGGGAGAGCTGCACCACCGGTATGACTGGTCCTCGGCAGGTTTTGATTCATAAAAGGGTGAAAACAGGAAACGTACGAACTCCAGCCCGAATTGCCATCCAGCTCAGAATCGAACCCAGGGCCGAGGGGAGTAAAACCCTATTTTACAAAGTACTACACATTCACGAAGAAAAAAGATTTTCTGTGGTCAGGAGAGAATGCTGCAAGTGCAACAAAGAACACACGCATTCATGTTAAAATCACACAAGAACAGATCAGGCTTTTCTCTGATGAATGTTAACACCTGAAGAACACTTCTGGTTGGTCTGTGCTAGTGTTTTGGTGACAATCTTCAAGGCAGATGCAGCTCTCCCATCAGCATTTTAATTCCCAAATAGTCCCACACTTCTGCCGTAGCAAGGGTGACTTTGAAAAATGCAGAGGACAATGCGCTACCTCTTGAGTAGCCTGCCTGCATAACTATCCCAGAAAGGAACGCTGTTACTGCACCAAATGAATTAAACTCTTAAACTTTCACAAGCCCAGAACAAAATCTAAAAAAAGGACTTAGAAGCACTTCTTGAACACCTCTCAAAGTAAAACCGAAGATTTTAGGACTGCACAATATTATTTCTTTAAGTGTCGCTAAATATTCCGTGAAAAATACACATGACGTAAAACGTGCCGTGTGGAAAATGGTCACACTGGGGTTTGGTGTGATCAGCCCATCAAAGCTTAATGAAACGTTGGTCAACACATCAGAAAAAAACAGTTTCCCTCCCCCCCCTCCCCTGAACGAAACGTCCACTCAACTGCAGCATAACACCTCCGGCACCGAAGCCCTCTTCTTCCTCCCCGCCCCTACAGAGGACCAGATCAGGAGCTCGCCCGCGCACCCCGGTTCCCACCTTGTCGTACAGGTTGCCGGCGCTCCGCTTGTCGTCCTCGTCGCTGCTGTCCTCGGCGGGCGGGCTCTCCCTCTTCAGGTCGTCGCCCAGGTAGTGCTCGAAGACGTTGGAGAAGGCGACGGCGGACAGCATGCACACCACGGGCGTCAGCGTGAGCATCAGCCGCACCATCACGCCCGCGAAGTACACGGCGCTGATGGCGTACAGGGCCACTGCGGGGGGCAGAGGACGGGACAGTCAGCACCGCCGCGGACCCCCCCCGCCAACACTCGGACCTGGCCGGCAAGGAACCCCAACCGCGGTCTTTATTGAAGCAGAGAAGGTAAATGACACCCTGCCACAACAGCCTGATTTGTTTGTCGGGTGGAATGGCTATTTCACTTCAATGAACACATCTGATCTTGTTTGAAAAGGGTTTCTGATGATACAGGAATTGACCCTCGAGTTTCATTCACAAATTCAGAACAGCTTCCTTAACCGATGTCTTCTCTTGGCAGGGGCTTGGTCATGACAAGATGGGTTTTTTTTTTTTAAGAACGCACAGCACAAAATCACAAAGATCACCATAAAACAGCACGTTCAGACACTGCGGAGCTCTTACCAAACACCCTCTCGTCATTGATGTTCTTTATACAGAACCAGAGACCGGCTGGGAACGTGCAAACTAAGATGTGCAGGTCAAAAAAGAAGGAAACCCAGGTGGTAGGCTGATGTTCGGACACAGACGCGATGATTGGGATATGGATCTTGGCATACCTGAAATAAAAGAACATCAATCAGGAGGAGAAAGTGCTTTTAAGCAACATGCCTGAGTATCAAAACTAGATGGGATCCTTGGGATGGAAAGCTACTTGGGGATGTTTCATTTTAAGTCCACTGATAAGACAGAGACGACCACCAGAAAAAAAGATAATGGAATAAAGTGGAAGCTGGCACCACTGAGCGGTTTGAGGAATGCAAAAAAAAACATTGTGAAAGCCTTCTCTTTTTCATAAATCAAAGAATTTTGACTGCAGTGAAAAGCTTCCTTTAAAAACGAAAGTATTAGACAGATTTGCACTTTCATTTGAATATTTCATTGTTATTGACAAAGAGGTCTTGTGAGCTCACAGCTATCTAGTCACCTGTCCCCTGAACAATAATAGGATGATTTGTGTCAAACGCGAAAATCTCAAATGAGAAGCTGTAAAATGAAAGTACGAGAAAGGCTGTTCATCTTGCAGAAAGCCCAACGTTAAAAGACCGCAGTGAAGCAAATCAAATCTGCCCACCGGACGATGAATGCTGCATAATAAGACCTGGTGCAATTCTGTTGAAAAGGAAATTTACAATGAAAGATTTTTGTAAAGAAAATATGAACCACAAACATTATACATGGGGTACATAACTTTATATGTAAGATTTATCATAATTTTTCCAGATCAAGGGTAAATGTTTTTATTCAACTGAATGTGCTGTAGACTCTGCTCATGCACAGAGAATCCTTGGCCCCTGGGTGCAATGAGCTACATTTCTGCATCTTTCCTCAGTCATTCATGTATCCAAATTATTTGTAACTGCTTATTTTATTCCATCAAACAAAGACATATTTCTGCTGGCAATTTCATCACTGAAGACCAATCCTCTACTTAGAAAAGGTTCTGATTAAATAACTTTACTGCTGCCTGATGCACAATGCTCTGCACAAGTTACTCACATCTACCACTTTTCCCCATGCTTCTTGAAATGCGTTCAAGCATTATCTGAACTTCCTGTGCAAAAATGGTCCACAACTTAGAGAAAGCTAAATGCATTTAAGCTAGGACAAAACACCAAAACTGTACATTAAAAACCTTTTATAAATGAAATCCTGAAGACGGGTTTAAGGAAGATTTTTCAAAACAGCATAATTAAACACCACCACAGTTTAAA